GAATCTTGAGGATGATAAATACAGCCACTAGCTATTTTAAACCCTTCTTAGTAAATGATTTGTTTTTCATCACTAGCAAAATTAAGTGGGAATTGCATTTTCATATCAATTTATGAACATTAACTAATTACTCCTCACACAACTCCCAGGAAGTTGGAGGGTTTTTTTCCCCCATTTTACTGGCAGTAGAACTGAGAGACAGAAGAGTGGAGTGATTTGCCCAGGTCACACAATGAAAGTGGCAGAAGGTGAGAAATCCTAGCTCCCAGTCCTGTGCTCAGGCCAGATCAGAGGACAACACCTGTTAAAAGGTTATGCCTCTGATCACAGAATGGCAAAGCAAGCAATCGTAACCCCAAATAGCATGGATCTCTTATTGTACAAAAGGCTTGATCCTGAGAGTCTAAGCAATGTTGTTCATTATTCCTGTGGGTCATATTTGTGATCTGTGATCTTTCCAGCCTAACAAATACCAAAAATAACATGTAGGTATGGGTTGGTTATAAACATCCCTGTCTCTTCTTACCTCAGGTACAAAGTGAAAATAATAATTTCAGGGTAATGAAAACCCCAGGTTTAATGTTCCATCCTTTTTTATAGGCAGCATTTATCTACTGTAGTCGCACATTTTCTGCTCTGCCTTTTGAGCCTGCCCAGGAGGCCTATAATTAGTCACCTGTGCGATCAATGGTTGACACTCGCATTTTAATCCAAAGTGAATGCGCCTTTGATGCCGTGCTGCATCTATCATTCCTTTTCACAATTACCTCCCTCTGCTACTTATAATGCTTCAGTTCATCTTGCTCATTCTTATTTACACAATAAATAGACACTGCATTTAACAACACAATAAACTGCCTTGTGACACTGAAGACATCATCTAGTGCTGGGTTCTTTTTCTAGTTCTGCCACTGACTCACAGTGACCCGGATTTTGAGAGGCACTAAGGGCACTTTTACATGTGCTCCAGGGTGCTTTAATTAGAGTGGGTCCAAGAGCTGCTGTAATTAAGATGCCGCCATCTTAATTAAGTGTATCGGCATCCACACACTTAAAAATTGTGGTGGGGTCACTTGAACTGAAGCTCATTTGACAAGCTTTAGATAAAGTGTCCCAGCTGCCATTTTGAAGCGCAGGGACACTGATACGTGAGATGCAGGAGGCTGCTGAAACACGGCAATTGCCATGCTTCAGCAGACTCGATTAATTGAGTCTGCTTCAAGAAGCTGGAATTCCAGTGCGTCGGAGCAGCCTCCGCACTTGTGTACAGGCACCTTGAGCTACTCCTGATTGGTGCGGACCCCCCTCAATTCCCATTGATTTCAGAGGGCACTGAGAATGTTGATGCCTTGTAAAAACCAGGCCATGAGTTTCTTAGGACAGGTACCTAATGCTGGATTTTACAGAAGCTTTTGTAAGCCCAGTAACCTGCTGAGGGCTCCAACGAGGGCTTGAGGCACATTTGAGCCCTCAGGATTTTCAGAATAACCTGTTGATCATATGTCCCAGGTCTCCGAAGAAATATTTGGGGGGGGTGGGGAGGAGCAACAGTCAATCAAAATTTTCAAAAGCCCCCCTAACAAGCATATGAGCTGAGGTAGGTCACAAGGAGGAATATAGATGTGTATACAGGCACTACAGTTTAGAAGGGTCATGCATGACATGCTGAGAGGGCAGTGCTAGAGGATGTGTGAAAAGCCACCAAGCTGGGGTATGTGGCTAGCATTTGTAGACTTAAGGATCTGTGGCCATTGAGAAAATAAAAGCATAGAAGGGAAAACTTGTGGACCTCATCATGGTCTTGATGAGGAAGACTGTCATTAGCTTTTACAGTGTTTTGAGACTTCACATCATATTTTGCCAATCTAAAGAAAGCAGCTCATCTACAGAAAATGAGTAGAGGTGAACTTCCAACCTCTCTCTTTTTGGCTGTCTTGAGGCTAAAACTCCAAAAATGTCTCATCACATGTTACATTACTAGGCTGATTACATGATGAGCATGAATATCCAAGGCACAGATCCTCAAAGATATTTACACATCTGATTTACAATGATAATAAGAATGAGGTACATAAACACTTTTTTGGGTCTGGACCCTTATATTTTTAATCTGCGGTGCTCAAAAATGGCTTAGGAAGGAAGGTGAATGTTGTTATCTGAGTTTTATAGGTAAGGAAGTTTCACGGCAGAGAGGAGAAGTAACTTGCACTTGCAAACACAGTGAATAGGTGCCAGTGCCAGGAATAGCACAGCTTTTGCTTTCTAGCCCATGGCCCTATGTACTGGAGCAAGGTGATTACAGAAGCTTACAGCTTTACTTCTAGCTTCCTTGAAGGGTCCTTCATGACACATGTTAGCATTTTACTGAATGTATTTCCCTTCTAGCCTCTGCCTTGATGGGTTTAAAGGGATGAATTTACCTTCTAGCCTCTGCCTTGATGGGTTTAAAGCAGCAGTTCTCAAACTTTTTAGATCCGAGGCATGAGGCAGCCTCATTAAATTTGAGGCACTCCTCAGAAAATGCCAGCACTTACATTTTTTATTTGGTTTTTGAGTACAGAAAAATAATAGAGCAGTTTTGCTGATGCAAAGAATAAAGAAAGCCCGCAACAGTTCAGAATGATTTTATCACCATAAATTCCCAATTGAAGTCCCTGTGTTTATTTCGTGAATCATGTTTGCCTACCTAACACTGCAAACATCACATAGCACCCTTGCAAGGCATCACGGAGGTACCCTAAGAGGAAGTTACCATTTAGGTTCACTGTATGGTATGTATGGATAAGCTCTGAAATTAGGTTTACTATTGGGGTATTTGGTCTTTAATCATAGCTGGTGCAAAGCAGTGTTCAGTTCTATTAAATATATTATAGTATTTGATAGAAATGTAATTTTGATATATCATTATATTTCAGCTAAAGTTGTTAGTACAGTCATGATTAACTTGAGTTTCCTATGATTATTCGTGTCTAGGAGAATCAATGGCTGAAAATAGCATTTGACTTGGTTTGTATATTGGTCCTCCAGCAGAGAGAGCCTGCATATGATCAGACAACGATGTATTTACATTTTAAAAGAAGCCTAACACCTAGCTGGTCAGACCTATCAAACAGGAAAAACAGCATATCAGATCAAGGAGTCTACATGTCTAAAAAGGATGCAAGAATTTCGTCTGGTAAATATGCACCTTTGGGGACGTCAGGAAGTTAACTGGCATAGTGTGGACCCACTAGAAATGAAGGGGTATGATAACAACCAGTCTGGCAAAGGCACTTAAGCCTGCTTAGAGAGCATAGATGGGTCTTCAGTCTTCCTAGGTACAAAGGAGTTGCTGAATCTGCCAGCCAAGGAGGTCGGGTAAGCCAAAATGAGAGGGAAATACAGGTGGTCTGACAGGCAGGGTCAGAGCCAAAAGCTGCATTTAGACGCCTGGAGCTGGTTAAGGACTGAATCTTTGGTTTTAAGGTGTAGGTATAAGAACAGGTCAATGATCTAGTAATTTCTTGTTTATTTACTCATATCTATCTCAGCATACACTTACTGGTTTCTTATGCTTATTCTGTTTTTATATAAATCCTTTTGGTTGGTTGTCTCCTTATTGGTTGCTCATGCAAGGAGTGACTTCTGGGTAGGTGATATCCAGGCCAACCCTCTCCAGAGAGGGGAGCCTAGAATTTTTTTCATAACCCAAAATTTGAAGGGCCCCTGCCTTGCAGTTGCAGAGTCCAGGCCCCAGGGCTGAGCACCTTTGGGTACTGGGATAGGGAGCTATCATGGGGCCACCTTGGTCTGTTCTTTGGGGCAGGTAGCAGTGCAGCAGGGGAGAAATTTGGGGCTCAGGAGGTCCTCTGCAAATGGGGTTTGTGACAAAAGGATCTCAAGGTACCCCAGGGAGCCACAGCCCCCCACCCTGTTGAAACTCACCAGTTTGAAAAAATGTATAACAGGGAATGGAAGAACATACATCAAGGAAGGTAGCCACCACTGTGCCCCTCCCTGACTGAGAATCACTGGGTTAAAGCCTGTACAAGGACAAGAAATGGTGTCGCTGCTGTCCCCGCTTTCCCCGGCTGAAAGCCATTGGTTTAAAGAACAAGGAACAGAGTCATCTCTGCCCCCTTCTCCCCAGCTGAGAATCTCCAGCTGAAAGAACAGATGACAAGGAGCAGAGCCACAGAACAACGGGGTCACAGAAGCCAGGAAAGTGCTCACGTTCAGGGTTCTAAATATGAAGAGCCTGGCTGAATTGGGGTGCTCTTTAACAAAGGACACCATAAAAGAAGAGCTCCCAACAGACACCACTGCAGGATCCTTTCCCACGTCCCTTGCACACTAAGGCCTCACCCACACGTTTACTTAAGAGGTTGCGAACCGGTAAACTGCTGCTGACGCCGTGACCCAGCCGTGCGCTGGCTCCAGCAGCCGACGATGGGGTGAGCCAAAGCCATGCCACACAAAAGGAAAATCCAACAAAAAACTCAACCTCACTCTGTGGCTGTTTCTTATTGCACCATTAACTTAAGGACTGCTGGGGCAAGTGGCTCTTTCTTATGACTAGGGATCCTGGTTTTCTGATTTAAAAAAAAACAAAACCCCAAACAAACCCCAATTTTTAGGTTTGAAAAAGTAACCCAAAATCCACATTTTTCCATTATTAAAATGAAATGTCACTGATATCTCTAGATATCTATATCTCAACATAGCGACATCTTGCCATCTAGATATCCCGACGTATTGACATCTAGATCTCCATATCTTTCTATCTAGATATTGATATCTATATATATATAGTGGGGTTTCATTTTAATCACGAAAAAATGTGGATTTGGGGATTACTTTTTAAAAGCTGAAAATTTAGGATTTTTCTTATCAGAGAAAACCAGGATCGGCGACAACGACCCCGCTCTGCTTCTGCTGCTGCTGTTCTTACAGAGCTCGCTAGCGTTCTTGCCTCTGTGACGCAATTGCTTCCTCGGGCGCAGGCCCCGCCCACCCCGGGGCGCGGCGTAGTTGGGCCAAAGCGAGGCGGGTTCTGTCGCTTTTAGAAGCGGGAGGGGGGTCGAACTGGGAGCGCGCCGGAAGTGACCCGGAAAGGTGGGTCAAGGGTCAGAGGTGACCGCCGCTGGGGAAGTGGGGGAGAGATGGCGGCGGCAGCCTGGGTTCGGTTCTTCTCGGTCGGCGGCCGCGCCGTGGCCCCCACGGGCCCGGCTCCCTGGCGCGGCTGAGGGGCCGCTGTGGGCTGCCGAGAGGGCGGGGCCGGCTCCGGCTGGCCCCCCCCGCTGCCAGCCTCTGGGCTCCTGAGGGGTCAGCTTGGAGCTCCGTCTGGCTGAGCTCTGCGTGACACACGTACAGGCATAGACAGACGTTGATTAGTTATAATAATATATCGGTTACAAGTCTTGACATGTTTAATATAATTATTACATTAACACGTATTTATTAACAGTTATTAATTACTTAAATTATTATAATAGTGTGTGTGTGTGTGTGTGTGTGTATGCATGTAGACACACGCACGCATAGTATACTAGCCAATTGCCCATCAGGAATGAAGCCAGGCTGCCATGGTGGGGGGGGCCAGGCCAACGCTTTCCCCTGCCAAATGTCATGGCAGGGCAAGGGGGGCGAGACCAGCACTGGCCTTTGCCCCCACCCCCTTCTGTTGGCTCAGTTGCTGCCTCCTCCAGGGAGGGGGGAGGCCAGCTGGCCTATTATAACAACTTATTATGCTATGATTATAATAACTTAAATCATTAGTTACTTGTATAATTATTACATTAATATTTATTTTAAACATCAACATTTATAACATATTAATAATAATAATAATAATAATTATCACTAATCAACATCTGTCTCTGCCTGTATGTGTGTCACGCAGAGCTCAGCCAGCGAGAGCCCCAGGCTGACCTCTCCCTTCCATCCCCTGTGTCCCTGTGATCATGGCAGTGCTCCACTGCACCACCACCTCCTGTCCCAATGTTGTATTTGCACTATGATTGGTTGTCTTGGGCAGCCAATCAGAGCGCAAATAAAGCGTTATGGACTGGCAGATTAAGGCTTTTATAATGTTAGAATGCATGTAGACACACAGAAATCATAGAAAATATTCAGTTAATTGTATACTAGTTATAATATGTGTGTATATTAGGGGTGGGGAAAAATGCAGGCCAGATGCTGCCCTCCAGGCCATTCTGCCTGGCCCTCTAGGCCCCTAAAAAAATTTGGAAAATCTTATATTTATCTCCCCCTGGTAGCCTGTCTCACGGGCCCTCTGGCTTGCCAAAACTTAGTAAGCAGCCCTCTGTCCAAAATAATTGCCCACCCCTGGTGTATATGTATATAATCTCAGGAGAGCTTGCATATCTCCTGTGTGTGCGCGCATATTTTTCTTTCTGTGAAATCATCTGAACCTTGACTGGTCTCGGCCTTGGGCCACTTAGCTGAAGTCATGGCTGAAGCTTTCGCGCCGCTGTCCCAACCTGAAGAGGGGCTTTCCCCTTCTCCTACATTTTGTTATTGTGTTTCCCCTATCATTCCCCCCCCAACACGCACTTTTAATTTGTTCATGTTCCCTAGTGGGCCTGGGGCCAATGTGGCATGCGGGCTTGGGTAATCCTTTAACTTGCCCTCCAATGTGGCAGTGGGGAGGGGAAGAAGAGAAGAGTGGCTGTCATGCGGGCTTGGGTGATCCTTTAATTTGCCCTCCTGTTTTTCTTCAGGCATGTTCATTGCTGTTGGGGAGGGCTGTGAGCGTGCCAGAAAGACCCGATGAGGACATGGTGAAGGCGAGAGCTTGAGCTGAATCTGGAGATACAGTTTCTCTGTGCGAAGCATGTAGGTCTTCTCAAATTTCGGCTTCAGTCACCTTTATTTAGGGTTGTAAGACTAAATCGAGGTTTGTGCATCCTGCCCCTTAGCATGCTTCCTTCTAGAAGAAGACTTGCAAGCACCTACAGATGAGTTCTAGTTTCCCTCCTGTACCTGGTTGTCTTTTGCCTGCTTGCATAGCCTTTTACATACCAGTGTGGAAAAGAGGAAATTTATGATTGTGGTTACTTTCTACCGACTTTCCTATTGAAAACTAAGCTTGTTATAAATGTGTGTTTTTTGTTTTTTTCCCCCCCCCCTCCTGCCCCAAAAAGTGCAGGATCATCTCCTGAAACTTCCCTTACACATGAGCTGCTAAAGGGTATTGTTATATTTAGAAATGGAGCAGTCCAATGTTAGGAAGTGCGGAAATAAGTTACCTGTCTAACCTAAATCTAGCTCCTTCAAGCATATACATCATGATGAAGACTCTGCTTGTTGTTTATGTAGGCTATACTCTTATAAGCATTGTTCCTAATTAATTGCATGTAATGATCAATGCTTATTTAATGAGTTGCATTTTTTTTTCCCCCCCCCTTACTGTTCACTGTGTACCTCCAGGCCACATTTAAAAGCTATGCAAACCTTTGTTTTGAAGACAGAATTCTGAATTTCATCTTGGGCTTTTCTATGGTGCCCATTCTTATGCGGCGAGTTGGCTTGAAAGTATACGCTGGCAGAGACTCCTAGGCAGCTACTGCTTGGTTGGCTTAAGATCTGCCTCTACTGGGAAAAGGCTGCTGACCCCTGACTTAATGTGATGTTGACTTAGGACTAGTTTGGTTGGGTAACATTTGACTTAAATGAATGGGGACTCTCAGTGATAGAAAGTTAGTGACCTTAAAGATGTTCTCTTTTATCTTGTACATCATAAGTAAATGAAAATAATACTTAAGGTTCATTTGAGGAAATCTTAACATTGTTCTCTTTTTCCTGTAATAAAGTTGGATGTTGATTAGATCATATTCATTTAATTACTTTGTGATATTGGTCCTTTTACAAGCTCTGCCATGAGGCAATTTGCACTTGTCAATTCAAAGCTAATTATGTTGCCAGACTGCTCTCTCACAAATGTGCTTTCATGTGTTTACTGTTTCTTTGCACTGCCTTTTGATCTACTCAGTTGTTTCTTCTTTACAAGGCTTCTCTGAAACACTGCTCCTGTCTTTTTCTTTTGCTTTCCAGATAGCTACTTGAACGCACTTTTCCTAGTTTTCAAACATGCTACATGTGATGGTATCAGTCAAGATCACTGATTAAGGGTCCAGGGAGAAGTGGGTAGGCAAAATAAACTTCTTTCCCTGCCAAATGTCTCATTGTAATCTTTTTTTCAGATGGTAGTACTAATGACACTATCCTTCCTCTTGGTCCTAGTGCTTTACCAATTACTATTGTCTCCTCTATCTCTGTACCACAACTTCTTTTCTTTTCCTTTCTTTCTTTCACTGTATGAGCTGGTTTGTGCTCTGACTTGGGAGCCAACCTTATTGGCAGCAGTCTCACAAATCAGTCCCGCACTTTCCCCAAGAACCCCTCTGATCCCTTTCTTTCCTTACCTGATCTGCTCAGCTTTCTGCTTCGTGCTGCTTGCTTGATATGGTCCTCTGCTTTCTGCTCTCTACCGTTGTGCTCTGTCTCCCTCTTCGAATCTGCTACACACCACACAGTTTGCCCATGCCACTTCTGGCATCCATGCTGCATGTTGGCCACCTTTGCTTAAGTTTTGATGTGGCCTACCACCTTGACCTCTTAACTAGTCTTCTGATGAAGTTGTTCAAATTGTAGTTGCATAGGTTTATTATCTTTGCTGCTGTCTTCCTGTTGCATCAATCTTTGGTGGCTTTTTCTTCTACACTGGTTCTCTTGATGCTGTAAGTTTTTGTACCTTTCCATTTCTTTTCTGTACTAGACAGATGCAAGAATAGTTAGGTGAAACAGAATCAGTCCACTAGGTAGATCTACCTCTTGCCCAAGGATCCCTGTCAGAAAGACCATTGGGATGGGGGGGGGGGTGGCTGTTCTCCTGCTCCCCGCTTTTGCTGAGGGTCACTGCCTTTTGAGAGTCTGGATCTGACTGAGAAGGGAGTGTGTGTGGCTGGAGAATGCATTCTTTTAACAGCTGCTGCTCTTTGTCTACCCAGCCTTCAGTGGAAGTTTCATTTGTCCCTTTCCTCTTGTCTGGTACCAGATCTCCCCAGGAAGCACGCTTCTAACTCTCAACTGGTTATCTTAAAAATGTACTTCTGATAAAGATGCTGTGAAATACAATGTCAAGTTAAACTTGTTGGCATGAAACGAATCTGAAAGAAAATTCTTGTTTTAGTGTTCTCCCAGTGTAGAAATGGTTACAGAGTGAACTTAATAAAAAAAACTTTTTATATGCATGATCTCTTCTCCCTCCTGTATTCGCATAATAGGATCACAGGAAAGTATGGCTGGAAGGGTCCTCGCAAAGTCGTCTAGTCTACTGGTTCTCAACCTTTTTTGTACCACAACTCATTTGTAAACATTGCTTATCCCTGACCCAGTGCCCCTCACTCCTGACCTGCTGCCCCCTGCCCTCAGGCCTCAGCTCCTCTGTGTGGGATTGGGCAGAAGGGGTTGTATGTGGGGCAAGAGGGGCCCCAAGCAGCCCCTTACAGACTGAAACTCTAACAGCTTGTAAAGGAAAAGCCAGTTTTCCACATCTTTTCTCCTTTTAAAGGAGAATCCATTTTTAGGTTTGGGTTGGTTTGTTTGTGTGTGGTTTTTTTTTTTGTTTTTTTTTTTTTTTTTTTTGTTTTGTTCTCGGTGATTTCCTGCAACCTATGGGTTGAGAAACACTGATGCTTAGGTAGGATCATCCCTGACCAAACCATTCTAGCCAAGTGTCTGTCCAACCTGCTCTTGTGAAATCTCCATCCCTGGAAATTTTCAACTTCCCTAGATAGCCTCTTCCAGTGCTTGACCACCTTCACAGACAGAGTTGTTCCTAAACTTCCTCTGCTTCAGCTGAAGGCTGTTGTTCCTAGTCCTGACCTGTCCCCTTCAGCCTCTAAGAGCAAGCCCATTGTCAGTCAGTCAGTCAGTCAGTCAGTCAGTCAGTCAGTCAGTCAGTCAGTCAGTCAGTTGAAGACTGTTATTAAATCCCTGCTTAAACTTCTCTACTCTAGACTAAACCCTAGGTTCTTCAGCCTTTATTTGTTAAGTCATGGTTCCCAGGCCCCTAATCACTTGTTGCCCTGTACTGGACTCCTTCCAAACTGTCCACATACTTCTTGAAGTGCAGGGCCCAAGACTGGATACAGTATTCTGTGTGAGCCCTTGCCAGTGATAAAAGGGGAAAGAATTGCTTCTCTTGGTGTGTCGTTTAAGTGACACTTTTGTTAATACAATTTGGTATGCTATTGGCTTTTTTTGCAACAAGAGAACACTTCAGTCATATGAAGGTTATGGCTTACTGTAATCCCCAGTCCTTCTCTGCACTACTGTAACCTAGCTAGTTTCTCACCAGTTTGTATTTAGGCACCCAATTATTTTGGCCATGGTGCAGGACTTTGCACTTGTTCAATCTCATCTGATTGACTGCCAATCACTCTTCCCCTGCCCAGTCTATCCAGCTCAGTTTGGATCATAGCCCTATTCTCCATCATGTCTTCACCCAACTTTGGTGTCATCCATCAATTTGAAAAGTGCATATGGAGTCCCATCCAAATCTTTACTGGAGTTATTAAAACACAGGACAGACCCCTTTGGAGCTGTGCTTGATACCTTTTCCCAACTGACCTTGAGCCATTGAATACTTACTGAGTGTGCTGATCCAACCTATTATGTATCCACATAACAGTACTTTCACCTAGTTTAGGAGTGCTCACCCATTTGGCCTTATGAGCCAGATAAGTGGGGCCTGTCCCTAGGCTGGATCCAGCCCTATGTGCCAAGATTATGTCCTGGGGCCTTGGCATTGTCCCTGCATTCTAGGATTGGACCCTGATGGCTTGCAACCACTTCCCTTCAGGGATTGGAATCTGGTACCGCTCTTTCCCGCCTTCTCACCATGGGATTGGTTTCCAGGGGCCTGGCATTACCCTCTCTGGTGCCAGTGCTTGGGGATTTAGTCCCAGGGGCCTAGTGCTGCCCCTTCCAGTTAGGACTGGTCCCTGGGGGCCTGGTACCACCCCCCTTTCACAGGAATTGCTCCCCAGGGACCTGGCTACTACCCTTCTGGCCCCAGTGCATTGGGAGTGGGGCCTGGGAAACCTGCGCTTCCCCCGTTCCAGCCTCTTACACCAAGCTTGGGTCCTAGGGCTAGCACAGCTCTTCCCAGCCTTCAGCTTGCCAGGGTTGGACCCTGGGCCCTATGCTTTCCCTTGCCCGACCCCATGCACTGGGATCAGCTAATCAAGCCTGTGTCGGAGGGGCCCAGGGCCCCCCCTTCAGGTCTGGAAGTGGTGATTGGGAGTGGGGTAGCCAAATTTACAGACTTTTTGGCAATCCTGTGTACTAGATGATCTGGGGTCATGGCTTGAATCTGAGCCCGCTGGCTGGGGGGTTGAGCGCTCCTGGTCTAGTCTTTCATAGTTGGTAGGGTCAGAAGGGCCCTAAGCAGATCATCTAGTCTGACCCCCTGCCATGGGCAGGAAAGGATACCGGGGGCAAATGACCCCAGCTACGTGAAGACCCCCAGGGTAGGGGCAAGCACCACTTCCTTTGGAAGTTGGTTCCAGCTCCTAGCCACCCTGACAGTGAAGTAGTGCCTCCTGATATCTAGCCTGAATCTACTCTCAGTCAACTTCTGGCCGTTGTTCCTTGTTACCCCCAGTGGTGCTCGGGGGAACAGGGACTCTCCCATTGCCTGTTGGTCCCCCTTGGCAAGTTTATAAGCGGCCACTAGATCCCCTCTCAGCCTTCTTTTGTGGAGGCTGAACAGGTTTGGGTCCTGTAGCCTCTCTTCGTAGGGCCTGCCCTGCTGCCCCCTGATCATGTGAGTGGCCCTCCTCTGGACCCTCTCAATGCTGTCCACATCCCTCCTGAAGTGCAGCGCCCAGAACTGGACGCGGTACTCCAAGTGTGGCCTGATCAATATCGCATAGAGGGGAAGGATCACCTTGGAACTGCTCGTGATGCATCTGTGGATGCATGACAAGGTGCGGTTAGCCTTCCTGACCATGTCCCCACGTTGGCAGCTCATGTTAATCTTGGAATCAACAGTGATTCCAAGATCCTTCTCTGCCTCTGTGCTTTCCTTAGTTTGTTAATGAGAACCTTGTGAGATATCCAGGGGTCAGAAATACCTGTGCAAAAAGAAAAGCGGAGCGATGTGCACAGGGGCAGCACACACTGCTTAAAACCAGAGCCTGGCTGGCTGGAATCACGCTCCGGCTGCCGGCCAGGCTCTGAGCGGCAAGATCACTGCTGTTGCAGCCCCAGGAGGCCCCCAGATCCCCAGGTAAGGCTGCTGGGGCCAGCCCAGTATCCCACCAGCCTCCCCTATCCCACCCAGGATAACCTGCTGTGCACCAGAGCACTTGGCACAAGTGTTTCCCGGGGACCGCTAGTGGCAGTGCAAGGTGTCCCGCAGCTAGTTGTCCTCAGGGAATGAAACCTTCACACTCATGTGGATGTGGCTCTGGTGATCAAATCCAGGAAGCAAATTTGTCAACACAAAAGCCTCTCTTAGGTTTTAGGACAATCAGTGCTATATAGAGAGATTTATAGAGGTTTCTATTCTAAGCTTTATAGAGTTCTGGTGTAAAACAAGGTAAAAGTTTGGACTGGGAGTCTGGTGGAAAGCAAGTGAAATATGCAGCAAGCAATTAAGCACAGTTGTTGCTGTCTGATATCCTCTCATCTGTGATCAGCAGCCTGGGTATTGTAGTTTATTACAGGAGAGAAGCAGTGGGATGTCAACAGGAGTGTAGAGGATGCTTAATTTTTTTTCCTATGGATAGTAAAGGCTCTTAACCTTTATACACTTCTTGCTTTCGGAAGTAGTTTAAAACATCTTTTAAATAAATCGAGCTCTCATTCTCTCAGTCCAGATTAGATGTACTATATCTTCTTCCTCGGGTGCTGATTCTATAATTTACCTTGCTTGGGCAATATCCCTGGCAGCCATTACTGAGTTCAGCACATGTGAGAGTTTTGTCTGTTTTGCTATTGAAGCATCTCTTTCCAGTGTTTTAGAAGAATCAACTATTTCTGTTCTTTAGCTTCAACTTTTACAAAATGTTGAAGCAAGGTAGCTAAACCTGTCAATAAACTATTGGTGTTGAGGAGGGGGATTCATAATAGCCCAG